GAGATGTTGTTTCTTTCACGATGTATACCCTGCTATATACAAATCAAATAAAGAAATGATGTTTACCTACAAAAAAATAAAAAAATAAAAAAATAAACAATATCTTGCTTATAATATTTTTTAATATTAAATATTATATAAATAATAATTATTATTCGTTTTGCTAATTAAAAAATTAATAATATTAAAGAAAATATATAAATTTTATTATTATAAAACAAAAAATTATTATTTTTTAGATTAACAAAAATCAATTATAATACAGATATTATAATACTTATAATTAATTTTTGATTTTATATAGATATAATAATAAATATGCAATATACATTCCATATAATAAACTTTTTTTAGAAACATTTTTAAAGATTAATAAATATCATTTGCAAATATTTACGGATAAAGAATTAGGAATTCATGTTTCACGAAACGAATCGCGTGACGTTAATCACTACGTACCACATTTCTATTTTATCCATGGCATTTATACATATGTAACGCACTATGGATTCGAAGATGATACCTAAAAGAGATGGTTTAGTTAAAGACCCGATTCCCAATGTGATTAATCTTCTACAAAATAAGTTCATTTCAAAGAAATCGAAGCGGACAAAATAAGGATTAGTTTATCACGTGTTCAAATACGGATCTAAAATACAAGCCGAAATTTTTTCTATTCGGAGCAGATTCGCCATTGTTGAACTTTTATTGGCAATTTCTTTATCGCGATACACGTGGCCAAGCGTGAGAAAACTGGTTCTCAATTCTGGTGGCTTTGCTCCCGGTAAGTTACAATTGGGATAAATCTGTGCCTCCTTTGAAGAAATTGTTCGTTGGATTGTGCAGAGAAAAATGTTTTTTTGATTGGGCGTTCAAAAGTTGTTCGAAATGTGTACTCAGTTGAGCAACCAATTTGGAATTTGTGTAATTTACAATCTTGGCTTTCTGTACCACCCCATTGTATTGTGTAAGAAAAGAAAAGTCAAACGACTACGTATTTAATTGTCACCAATTTTATTCTTTTGCGGTTACTTTCATATCGATGCCTACCACTCATCTAAATACAGCAACACCCGGAGTTGCTTCAGCGATAATAGACAATAAGCATTATAAAGATCAGTTAGAAAAGGACTTACCGCCAACGCCAGAGGGATACAGTCAAGGAAATGGGCATGCCAGTCCAAGCCACAGAACACATGACAAAACAAAATATGTAGCAACAGAAGATTACACCGGTAGTATGAACGGCAGTAATTCTCGTTCTTCAATCGAGGACGAAAACGAACAGTACCATCCCGCAAGTGAAGACCCCGAAGCCGATGCCGTGACTCCCAGACTTACTAAAGAGAGAAATATGCTTCAAGTGGAACAAAATGGTCCAACCATATTATGCGATTCACCGGTTCCTCCGGAATTACCAGCTTATGCACCAAAAGACACACAACAATGCGAAGAATCTGTAAAAGAAACAATCGCATCTCGTGAAACAGCTCGACACCATCAACAAACTACGAATGCTCGCACAACCAACATAAAAACTTCAGACACAAACGCAGAAACCACAAAGAGTAATAATACTTCCTCGGATTCCAGTAATCAACAATTAAGAGTTAAGCCCAAAAAAGTCCTCGGAAATTACACTCTAACAAAGACTTTAGGTGCAGGTAGTATGGGAAAGGTCAAATTAGCAATACATTCGTTCACTAATGAAAAGGTAATGAATTGTATATTGAGATCTTTTTTAAATTTTTTAATTGAAAGTGTCACTTATGAGGAAGTAATTTAGAAAAGATGGTTTCATAAGACAATCAATGAGAAGTATGCGATTAACCTAAATAACAATAATACTAGTATAAAATAATATAAAACTTTTACTAATGATCGTTTGAGAAATTTTGATGATTTAGGCATCTCTCGTCATAATCACCTTTGTGTTTTATGAATTAGTCAATAATTCCTTTTTCATTTGATTTTTTGTTAAGTTGGCGGTAAAAATCATCCCGCGAGTGAATCCATCAGACAAAGCTCAAGACGGAAAAGAAAAGGATCCATCCAACAAAGATGATAATAAAGAAATCCGCACTATTCGTGAAGCTTCGATCATGCTTTTACTTCATCATCCTTATATAGTTCAACTTAAAGAAGTAATGGCATTGCCACATCATTATTATATGTTCTTTGAATATGTTAATGGTGGTCAAATGTTAGATTACATCATCAGTCATGGTAAACTGAAAGAGAAACACGCCAGGAAGTTCGCTAGACAAATAGCGAGCGCTTTAGGTAAGTACTCGTGAATATTATTGTCTCGATTATATTACCAAAAATGTTTATCATACCGAAACTTAGTATTTATCTTTAAGTAATTGTCATAATTTTACAGATTATTGCCACCGTAATTCCATAGTACATCGAGGTACAGATCTGCCTTCATTGGATACTTTTTCCTTTGCAAACGATATGATTAAGAAGTGAAATACTCATACCTTACAGATTTAAAAATCGAAAACATTCTAATATCAAAGAGTGGATCTATCAAAATAATCGACTTTGGATTATCCAATCTCTATTCTCCGCGTTCCCATTTGTCCACTTTTTGTGGTTCGCTCTACTTTGCAGCTCCAGAACTACTAAATGCTAAATTATACACTGGTCCGGAAGTTGATGTCTGGAGTTTCGGGATTGTCCTTTATGTTCTAGTTTGCGGTAAAGTACCCTTCGATGATCAAAGCATGCCTGCTTTACACGCAAAAATCAAACGAGGTGTTGTTGAATATCCCGGGTGGTTGAGTAGTGGTGAGTGTATTATCACAATCTTTGGATGAATTTCGAAAACTTTTATTTTAATACTATATGTAACCTATTCTCATATAGATTGTAAGAACATTCTTTCGAAAATGCTTGTAACCAATCCTATGAATCGTGCTACACTTGCCGAAGTACTGAATCATCCGTGGATGAACAAAGGTTATGAAGGTCCACCAGAAAACTATTTGCCACCACGGAGTCCGCTTATACTTCCCTTAGATTCCGAAGTAATTCGCAGAATGACCGGCTTTGAATTTGGTACAGAGCAAGAAATCAAAAAACGCTTAGAAAGTATCATCAAAAGTGATTCCTATCAAAGTTCAATTAAAACTCAAAACTTCGGTCACGGATTTTCTGATAATAGGAAAAGAGGCAGTGGTTTCGATTATTACCGTAAAAAATTATCGGGCTCGAATAGCTCAATTCACGAGGACAAATCTATTACAGCAGACCCAACTCAAGCAGTTCACCCACTAATTTCAATCTATTACCTTGTAAAGGAAAAGATCGAGAGGGAACGTCTAATACAACAAGGAGGTATTCCTCGGTTTGGTTCATCATCCTCTCTTTCCGAGACAAACAGTAGCTTAAATATACCCCACGTCTCCGTACCTGATCCTTCACACCTAGGTGATGCCGGATTTGATATATCATCATCCACAAACCCTAACGGTTCAGTGGTTAGGCGTGCAACTGTTCCTGCCGGAACTAGACCCCGTGCACGAACGAGCGGGGAGGAAGAATTAACTAATATGGTGTCAGTTGACGAAGGGGACATCCCTGAGGAAACCATCAATGATGTTAATGATGAATTGAATTATGGAAGAAAAAGCAATGAACAACAGACAAGTGGTAATAATTCTGGCGGAGGACTAATAAAACGTTTGAGTTTAGCTATTGTTGGCACTCCACGCGAATCCATTTCACCGCCCATCTCTCCAACCTCAACAGTGTCTCCAAGAAGTCCCTCGGAACACCGACGCCATGGATCCACGCCCAATGGGCCTAAAAGGGAAGGTTCTAATAATTTCTCCCACAGGTTCTCACACATGTTATCTAGAGCAACATCAGTATCTGAAGCAGACTATAGACGCCACCGACAGAGAAATTCTGTTGGAAATAATCGACATTCTCATGTGCCAAGTGGGAGTAGTGCGGGTAGAAGTCCTACTGCAAAAGCTCCTGTTGGTGCTTTGCCTCAATTGATTGAGCCGTCAACAAATAATGCGCAATCCGTTCTTCCATCACCAACCACGAATCCGGCGCGTTCTATCCACCAACGAAGTACCTCCGGCGGAAATCAAATGTCCATCAATGTACCACCTCTTAAAACACAACGCAAGACCGAAAACGATTTCAATTTTCCACCGTCAGCGTCTCCACATTCTCCTTTACCTGGTGGTACCGCAGATTCTTGGATTCGACCGGTTTATTTAAAAGGTTTATTTAGCGTAGCGACAACTTCTACAAAGCACCCATCGGTTATTAGGCTAGATCTTATAAGGGTTCTAAATCGAATTGGTGTAAAATGGCGTGAAGGCCGGGGAGGTTTTGAATGTGTTCATATACCAAGCATAGATCTAAAATCAGTCGTAAATTCCAATCATCCAAATGGTGGAAAGGGTGATCAACAAATAATCAACCATCATCACGCTCATTTCAATCGACACGAACGTAGAGACAGTCATTCATCTGGAAATTCTGCTGCCTCTACTTCCTCATCAATTTCGTATAGGGACAGTTATGCACAGGGTCAGGATCTTCATTTTTCAGCTGATGGTGAAGTTCGACTTTCGTTATCATCCGCCGTTAATAGGTATAGTGACAATCAATCTTCTAACCACAGCAATAGTGGTGATGCAACTGCTAATGTCACAGAGCTTGTTGTGCGATTCGAGATTTTTATTGTAAAAGTTCCGTTATTGCTCGGTGTTCATGGATTACAGTTCCGTAGGGTTGCGGGTGATCCGTGGCAATACAAAAATATGTGTTCGAAAATTCTGGGAGAGCTGAAATTGTAGCTCATAGTATAGTAGCAGTTCATTAAATTCATCGATATTGTTTCTACTTATATATACCAATTGAACGCAAAAATTTCTGGTTGTAGATATAGCGTCATTCATTTATACGAATCTTTACACATATTTATCGAGCATTGATTTTTGATAGTCTTTATTATCTTTATTGTATTTTTTTTTGACAAAATTATTATTATTCATCTATATTACATTTTCACTTACGGATTTGACCAAATCATTTTGTGGTTGTAAGTAATTTAAAGTATACAATTTTTTTTTAATGTACGAATATAGACTTATGATTCGTAGAGTTAATCACGAGATCAAAGAATGATTATCAACGATTAATACACTTTTTAAAGTCTTAAAAAAAGTTCTATCATATAAAGATGTCGACTTCAGATTCAGAGGATTACATGTCTTCCAAGTACCTGGTAGAAGTGCCTCAAACCTCTGAACACCAAACTTATTCTGAACGTCGTCGCAAAAAACTTCAGACTAACTCCGGTTACATTAAACCTCGTCATGTATTGGACAAAGAAAGTCTTGAGCAAGGTCTTTCGAGACGAATAGATACAGAGGAATCTCCTGGGATGAGAATCTTGATGAAAATGGGTTACGAAAAAGGAAAACCCCTAGGGAAAGAATCCAATGGTTCTGGACTGACGGAGCCTTTGCCCGTTGAACTGAAAAAGGGTATAGTCCTGGGTATCTTTTGACCAATGTATTCCCGCGATCTTCGTTTACACTATTTTCTATAGACAGACTAGGTATTGGAATGTCTGCGCAAATTAAGCGAAAAGCGCAGAACGAACTTGACAAAGCAGCTAAACAAGCAAAAATCGAAGAGGAAGTATTTATTGAGCGTATGAGTAAGGAACGTATGACCAGAAAGCTTGAAGGACAACTAAATAAGATCAGGAAAATGTGCCAAACTTTAGATAATCGAAAGGTAATTTTTTTATATGCATGGCGTGAAACATTAACAAGTCTAATGCATTCATTCCATTCTAACAGGAGATTCAGGTATGAACTAAGATTGTTCTTACGTGTACATGCAAGTCATCCGATTATTAACCTGTGCCGAATTTCTTTGAAAGTACAATATCTTCTGGCCACAATTGGAAGAAGATGATGAACAGAGTAAAGATGTTCCAGAAAATTCTTTACATGCCTCGGAAGATGAAAGCGAAGAGTTTGAAAAACTCCCGGTTGAGATCTTCGTTATATTTTATTTGCTCAATCAGCTATTTATTCATATGTACATTCATATCTCATTAGTCCAAAGAAAAATTCGACTTAATATTGACTTATTTGCGTGATCAATACCATTATTGCTTTTGGTGTGGATGCGAATATAATTGCGCTGAGGAGCTTTTAGAGGTGTGTCCGGGTATTAAAGAAGATGACCACGATTAGTATTTGAATATTATGTGGAAACGGTATATTAATAATTCGTGTGGCACGGTAATAGTGGTTTACGTTTTTCTAAAATATATTATATACTATACATCTTACTGTTTTTTTTTGTTTAGAACTCATATCGTAGATTGTTTATTTTCATTCCATTACTTCAGCAGAAACATTAGAGTTAGATATAAGAAATTTACCATTACAAACCAATACCAAGAAAATCTTAAGATAATAATTTGTATTCTTAACGATTTTTGTCAATGTTTATATTTAATTTAAAATTGATTATTATTTAAAGTTTTGATTGATAATTTAATAAAGTTTAATAGATTTCAAAAACATAACATTTTCTTTTTTTATTTTATATGTATACAATATGGATATTGTGGATCAAAAAAATATTTAACTATACAGTTTGGTATAAAAGTAAGTTAACACCAGTTTATTGCATGTAAAACATTTGATATAAACAATTAAGTTAATATTGAAAATAATAAAAATTTATTAGTTGGGTTTTAGTTATGCTGTTTGAATTTATGAAATTATAAAGACAGCTTTTGTTACTATTTTAATAATTGTGTTTTGATATTGTTACCTGAACCTGTAAAATTATATTGCAACTATTTAAGAGTTAAATAAGATATAAAAAATTCATTTAACTCATTGTACCAACATATGAGAGATGTTGTTTCTTTCACAATGTATACCTTGTTATATACAAATAAAATAAAAAAATGATGTTTACCTACAAAAAAAAAAGACATAAAAAATCCAATATTTATATATAAATCCAATATTGTTATTGAAAAATGTGTTTTAATTAATTTAACCTATATAAAGATAAAATTTTTTATTTTTTTTAATAATTGCAGAGTTGCAATAAACCATATTAGAAAAGAATTATATAAAGAAAGACTTTTTGTCTAATTTTAATTAAATCTTATATATTCATTATATAAATAATATTTTATTTAAATATATAGACTTGATTATATTTCATCTTAATTAATTTCAATTATCTACTTATATCAATATTATATTTAAATATACAAACTAAATTATATTTTATTTTAATCAATTTCAATTAATTAATTATTATATATTAATATTAAGTAAAAAAGCTTTAAAAAAACATTATATAAATATTAATGTTTTGTGTAATATAGTTTTTTCAATAACTTATTGCATATATAAAAGTTATAACTTATTTAATATTTATATTCTTAGATTTGATAGTTTAAGCCAACTGGTTCTTTTAAAATATTTATTAAAAAATTAAAAAAATAATTAAATTTGCTTAATTTTTAATTTAAAATTCTTATATTATTATTATTATTTTTTTTTTTTTTGTAAATAACCATTATTTTTTTATTTAATTTATATAACAATAGATATACATTGTAAAAGAAATAATATTTCTCATATGTAACAATACAACAAGTTAAATGCTAGCTTGCTTACAGTAACTACTAGACTAATATTGAAAAGAAATTTTAAAACAATATACTGTATCTTGTCAAAGACTTCAAACAGTTATAATTACCTACTCAATATTAAATGAAAAAAAATTAAGATAGTCTAAAATTAGGTTGGAAATATATTTAATAAAGTTAAATCCACCTTATATATATGAATCTGCAACTATGGTTAGTATGTCTATAGTAATTGATATTAATATAAAGAAAAAGTTGTTGAATAGTTTGAGTTTGATTATATTCTTAATGATTTGTTTTGTTGTATTGTTATAGAGATTGTTGTTTCATCTGAAAAGATATTTGCTGAAACACAATAGAATATTCAAATTGATTTGTATAGGCAAGTTAGAATCTTAGTTAATGTTTTAATTTAATTAAAAAAATTAATTATAAAAAAGATATTGTTAATAATGTTACATATCAATTCTGCTAATTATCAAATATATGAGATTGGTTTGTGATTATTATCAAAATAAAAAATATTATTAATAATGTTAATAAGTTGGCCAATATTTTTAATATATAGGCTATACTTGGGACAGTATAGGTTTAAGTATTGGTTTTAATATAATTTGTAAAGATTTTTTTTTATAGAAAGTATTTCTAAGAGTAGCTTAATTCTAAAAATAATAAGATTACTGCATTTGTTGACTTTGAAGCTTTTTATTTTTTTGTTGAATTTGTTAATAATTTTGAGGTTATAAAGTTTATAAATATATCTAAATGTTTTAAGAACCAAAGAGCTTTCACAAATTATATAGGTCTTGATAATACTTAAAATTTTTTTGTACTATTTAATACTGCTGCCTAATTGTAGATTATTGATTAGTGAATTTTTAGAAAAGTGAAGTAATGAATTGATTTATTAAAAAATGATATCAAATCTTGGATTAAACTTTAAGTTAATATATTTAATTTGAATTGATTTGTCTTATATTAATTATTGATTTTTAATATTATTAAAGTAAAGTTAATTTTTATTATTTTTCTTGAATAGTTGAAGACTTTTTGAAGAATTTTCTTGTTGCTTCTTATTTCTATAATACAATTTAACAGGTATCAATATAAGATATCTATTATTATACTAGCATTTAGCTATAGTTATAATATTACAAAAAATGTTTGATATATCAATTGTAATATTCATAAGTTAATATTCAATAAAACCCACATTTAATGCCATTCTACTATATAAAAAAAAGATGTCTATTATTATATAAAGAATGTTTTTTAAAGAATGTTTTGGATTGATTGGAACAATTCTTGTATTATTTACAAAGACTTTATTCTAATTAAGTTGGAAATGGTACTGTTAACAAATGACAATTCTTTGGAGTACTGAATAGGAGATGAGATAAAGAAATTGTCAATAAATTAGAAAATATCTTTTTCTTGTTATAGTATAATAGACAGTTCACTGATTATGTTATATAAATGATTTTTGTATGAATTAGGGCTCTGAAAAATACTGAACTGATATCAAAATGATACTGATTTATAGTAAATTTAATATATGGGTTGTAACTTACTCATATGTTTTTATAGTAAATTTAAGTATCAAAGTAATATCGAAGTGGTATTGTTAAAAGTCCTAGTTTGAATTGTTGAAGTTAGAAACAATTTATAATAAAAATACTATAAGACTTGTAAAAAACAATGTATAAAAGTCAGCAAAGTATATTTCTAGTAAACAGCCATTGCATTTGAATAAAATATTGTTTGGATTGATAAAATAATATTTATTATTGTTATTATTTTTAAAACTAGTTAAACCTTGTTTAGCAAACTTTATTAAGATCAATATATATATATATATATATATATTTCTGTATATGAACTATACTATAACATTAATTGATGAATATATGCTCAACTATATCGAGATTTTCTAGATATCAACAGTTGTTATCAACTTTTTCTATTGAATAAAGGTTGAAATTAATGTGCTAAGACATTGCTATTGTTAATATCACTAGTATATAAATAAAAAAATTATTTCTTGTCATTTTGTCTATATTTTTAATCCATCTTTCTAGTAACTTTCTTGCTAGATTCTTTTTTTTATTTGCTGTTATCTTTTCTTTCTCTCTGTCTCTTTCCACTTCTGTTTGATATGTTCTATATTTTCATTTTCTTTTATCTGCTTTGCTAATATTATTTATCTCTTTCCATTTCATGATTTCTTTACATCTTTTTTTCTATAGTTTAATAATTACTTTTGTTATTTTCTCTACAATTTTTCTGCATACTTTTTTTGTTTTTTTTTTGTAAACTGATATATACTGTATATCGAGTTATCTTTTTGGTCAAAATCTTTTTTACTATATAGTTTTTTATGCTCTCTAAGTTAATGATTAATGACATTTTTGATTTGAGTTTTTTTTCCTTTTTCTCTTATTTTGGTTTCTTTGATACTTATCCATTTCATCTTTTATTATCTTTTTATATTTATTTGTGATTTTGTATTGTCAATATTTATGTATCAAGTGCTTTAGGCTTTTTCTTTCTTTATATTTTGAACATTTGTTTAATTTGTAAATATCTGATCTTTTTTTTGCTAGCCTATTCAGTGTAGAGAGTTTGTTATTTAATAATCTGTATCTGATTTTTCTGTATGTGTGGTCTTCTTGGTTTGTATATATTTTAGTTATTCTGAATTGGTATTGTTTTTTCCAGATAAAATGCCAGTCTATTTATAGCTTATCTCTATATTCAATCCATACTTTGTTTCTTCTTTGTGTTATCCAGCTTGTTATCTATTTAGTGTTTTGCATGTTTTTCAAGAATTCTTTAATATTTATGTCTAGCTGATATTCCTTCCATTTTAGTGTTCCCCATGTTATTACTTTTGGATTGGCTGTTGTAATTGCTTTATTTTCTTTGTTGGCTCTTTCTTTTGCCAATTCATCTGCTTCTTTATTGTTCTTTTCTCTCTAATATGTTTTGACTTTAATAAATATTATTTGTTTCTATCTTTCTTTGATGATTCTTTTAATCAAAGTTTTTGTTATCCAATTTGTACTTTTGTAGATTTGGCAGTTTTTTTTGTCTTCTTTTTGAATCTCTTAAATAGCTATCTGATTGTCTATATATATCTCGACTCCTGCTTGTACTGGGATTGTAACTAGCATAGTTAGGATTATACATATATTCATATTTAATTTAGACATTTTTTAAAAACCATATTATGTTCATATTAATAAGTAACAATTAGTAAATAATTGGAAATCATATTTAATTTGAAATCATATTGTTAATCAAAATTTTTTTATGGTAATAAGGAAATATATATAGTTAGGATTGCTATCAATTCTGCTTTCATTAATAATTATTAATCCAAATTGGGTTATTCGGCTGCTGAATTACAGCTGATTAAATCCAAATTTATTAATAAAAGTTTATACCGAAGTTT